TAGGCCCAGGCTGCACATAGCCAAGGGCCGGGAGGGGCTGGTGTCGTGGGAATCGGCATCCCAGGACCCTGGTATTTATAGCTGCTACCCCTCCTGACGTGCGGGGCGGCTCTTAGGTGGGAACGGAAGTAACTTTCCTCTCCCCGTCCCCTCTGGTCCCGGGAGAGCAGCCTAGGAGCCGAAGCCCCGCCCTGTCTGTGGGCCTCAGGCTCCATCCCGACTAGCGGTTTGCGCAGCATGGCTGGCTAAGGGGCTGGACCTCGCTGGGTGTCAGACTGATCAAGGTCACGCCCTGGATGCAGAGGGCAGGCACATGGGGAGACCGAGGCAGGGCCCTCGAGAGAGGGAGAGGCCCTGGTCACAGAGTCCTCTGTGGTTAGAAACGGCTGGAGTGAGCTGTGCACCGGGGGAAGGGAAGGCCAGGGACCCACAGCAGCTGGGACACAGAGAAGGGTGCTGGGATGAAGTCACGGACGGTCTGGGGCGCAGAGGCTGAGACGCTGGGTAGAGGAGGCCACAGCATGGCCCTGTAGCAGTGAGGGTATAGGGCGGGAGGGGCCTGGGGCCTGGACCTGGCTGCAGGGAAGCTGGGTCACCGCTACCCTGAGTCCTAGCTCCTGACTGCACACCAAGAAGGACATCACTGGGGACCCTTTGTGTCTTGGCTGGGATTCCTTGAAAGCCAGGAAGCTTTCGATTTTTTTTTTTTCATAAGTTTTAAAAATATAAGCCCAGCACATAGCCAGGGAGCTGCTCCTCAGGAACGCCTCATGAATTGGGGTGTGGCAAGTGTCCCTTCCCAGGCTCAGTGCCTCTGGGTGGGTGCAGGTGTGAGTGCTGGGCTCCTGGACGCAGTAATGTCCACAGCCCAGTCCTGTGCCCTGGAGGAAGCAGATGGGATTCTGCCCCTCGGAGCAACTGGTCTTGTGGGTGAGGGACCTGCACCAGGGAACAGGCGCAAAGGGCTGAGAAGCCCAGTGCCCATCATGGTAAAGGCACACTGTCACTCTGGGCATGCAGTTGCCCCTCTGAGTCTCATTTCCCTCTAAACCAAGGGGTGGGGCTGCGTCGGGGGCGGGGGGGTGGTGGTGGAATCTTTGCTGTAAGGGCTGGGAGGGAGGCAGCCTCTGTGACACACTGAGACCAGTCATGCATGAGCATGGGTGGCAGCCTAGCAAAAGCAGGCCAGAGCTGCCAGAGCCAGCCAGGCGGGGAAAGGCACTGAGTGGGAGGATGGAACGGTCAACAGGCCAGGCACTGTCCCTGGCCAGGACTCCCTACGCCACCTCTGGAGTGCAGCAACCCACATCTGGGCCTAATGTGCTCCATTTGCTGCCTAGCAAGTGGGGCTTTCTGGAGAGGCAGGGGACCCTGGCTGCAGGGACATGGGGACAAGGACAGATGTCTCAGCGGCTGAGGGAGCTGCCGCTCTCTGATCTGGAAAGGCCTGAAGGTGCTGGAGACGCAAGAGCACTGTGGCCTGTGTCCAGGGAGTGAGCTGAGGTGGGTCCTGCTTTTTTTCTGAGCCTCAGTTTCCTCATATGGAAAGTGGGGACATCTCCTGACTCGAAGTGCCTCTGTGAGGCTCAGGACAGCAAAGCCAGCGCCCACGCCGTGAGTGTCTCAGGAGGCCAGAGCTCCTCCCTGACAGGACAGCACCATCCTCCTGAGCAGAGTGGTGCTGGTGGTGGGGACCCCAACCCCAGACAGGATCCAGGCACCACATTGTCCACACAAACCCCATTCCTTCCAGGATGACTGTCACAAATGCAGGACTGGTGGGGACGCAGCCAGGGTGACCCCCACCCTCCACCCGGAGGAAGGGGGTGGGAGCTAGGGAAGGGGCTGTGGAGAGGGCTCGGGGAGGGAGCAGGCTCAGGTCCCAGCCCCTTGCTCATCGATCCTTAGCAGGAACGGGAACCTAGCTGGACACAGCACGTGACCCCCCCACTCTCACTGCCCACCACACCCCAGTGCCTCCCAGCCCAGCCTGCCAGGTGGGTGCTTGGAGAGGGAGGCAGCAGCCTCCGGGCTCCTGGTCCCAGGCAGAGGGCGCGGTGCAGGACCAGCAGAGCCCGAGCCCTGCGTTCAGGTGCATGTGCACCCGCCTCTTTGTGTGTGCCAGGGAGCTTGGCTGCGGGGCTTGTTCCAACCCTGCACCCCTCTGGGCAGTATGCCCAGTTTCCAGCTCTCATAGCTGCCGGGTCCGTGGCTCCCCCTCCCTGCAGGCGGCGCCCACCTGGCATGGCCCCCCCAGGCGGCGGCAGCACTGAAAGCCCCACTTGTCCTCTGGCTGGGGTGTTGGGAGTAGTCAGTTACCCTTGGCCTAGGGGAGCTTCTCCAGAGTGTGGGTGGGCTGGGCTGTGGGTCTGGCCCCTGCCCTCCCAGAAGCCCAGGGCAGCAAGGCACACACACCCAAGATTCTTGGGGTGTCCCCAAGGGTGTCCTCAGCACCTCTGATCCCCTGAGCCATCCCCCAGGCAGCAGGGTCTGCCCTGGTTCAGCTTCTTGACCTGGTACCCTGGACCCTGCTCTTAAGAACCCCCTTCAGCTCAGCCCCATCCAGGTGGCACGGAACCCCCTGCCAGGCCCCCCGATGTGGGTCTCCCCTCAGCCCCGCATGGTCTGCTTTTCACTCAGCCAGGGAAGAGGCGTGGGGACCACTGTCCCTGAGTGCTCTGTGCTCATTCTGACTTTTTTTTTTTTTTTTTTTAATTTTTCAGACAGGAGCTCACTATGTTGCCCAGGCTGGCCTGAAATTTCTGTGCCACAGAGAGGGAAGATGTGATCCTCCTGCCACAGCCTCGGGGGAACTAACTACAAGTGTGCTATATCCCAGCTCACATCCACCCTGCCCCTCCCTGTGCTTGTTCCTTTGCGGGGGCCGCACAGCGGGAGCTGGGTACTGTATTTATCATCCACATGTCACACGAGGCAGGGCTCTCCATGGGCACTGGGGTTCCCTGTGGGACTTAGTACACCCAGCTCTCTCTTGGGGGCCTCGGTTTCTCTGTCCGTACAGCTGGGAGGTTGGCCTGTGTGGTTTCCAAGGTGCGGGCTGTGCTGGCCCACGACCTATGTGCCCAGGTAAGACGAAGCCATCTTCAGGGTGGCAGAGATAGGGACCGGGGGCTGCGCCAGGCGTGGGGATGAGGATGGGCTTGTCTGCCTGGCACAGGGGAGAATGCCAGCCCTTTCACCCCTCGCCATTTCCAAATTCTTCTAAGGTCAGGGTCGGCTTCCTGTTTTAAACCTCATAGGCGCCATGCTGAGCTCCTGCTCTAAGACCGTTGTGGGCGCCCCACTGCCAACCGGGCACATCCTGCCATTTAAGGTCCTGATGCCCCAGCTCAGGTCTTTCCCTGGCCCAGGCTCGGAATATCTTCCAATCTCAGCACCCTCCGCTTGCCTACACCCCCCCTGCCCAGGCTGAGTGCTGCCCGGGTACCAAATCCTGTGCCATCTGCTGTGTCTTGGCTCAAGGGCCACAGCGGTTCACCCTGGCTTGCTCCTGATTTTCAGATCTTTGCATCCACAATCAGGAATCGCTGCTTGGGTTTTATCTGCTCTTCTCCCTCTGGAATGAGTCCAGACTCAGCCTATCCATTCCCGAGCACCCTCCTTGCCCAGCACGGTGCCCGTGCCATACGGGTGCTGGGGAAGTGTTTCAGAATGGAGTGCAGGGGCCGGGGATATAGCTCAGCGGCACAAGCACCTGCTTGCCAAGTGCAAGGTCCTGAGTTCAATTCCCGGTACCAAAAAAAAAAAAAAAAAAAAAAAGAAGAAGTTGAAACAATGGAGTGCAGGGATGTCCCTCAGGTGGAGGCTGAGGCTGGGTGAACTCTGACCATCCCAGTTTCCTTGGGCATCCTTCCCTATGTCTGGAGCCTGCCCCTTGCCCAGGCCCTGAGACCCGGCAGCAGGAATGGGGAGCTGGGTACCCAGCTATGACTCATCCCCTCCTGGCCACCCCGTGATGCCCTCCTGTGGAACTGGCTTCCCCTTCTGAGGCGAGCAGGGTGTGGCCCAAGCCCCTGGCAGGGAGACTTGGGCCCTTCCTCTCAGGAATGGTCCCAAGGACCAGGCTCAAGCCCTGATTCACATAGGGTAGGAATGACAGATGGGCCCTGAGGCCACAGATCCACGACTAGACGGTGCCTGTCTCCCTGAAGGAGGAACGCTGTAATGCTGGGATTCCTGGCGCCGTGACAGAGGGGCCCAGCACCTCTTGGCAGGCAAACTTTCATTCAGTCTCTGTTGGGGTCAGGCCCCAAGGCTGGGGACAGGCAAGCATGGCAAGGGTGCTTCGGGCTCTTTGTGGGATGGGGGGTATCTGAGGAGCCGCAGCCCTGCTCCTGCGAGGCTGAAGACTGGTTGGTCCTGTGTGTCACCAAATGGGTCTCCTGAGGAGGAGAGGGAAGGTAGCCGGCCAGGTCCCCTGGGAACACGGCGGGGAGTGGGTGGTACAGGAGACGTGCTGGGGACAGGGGCCACAGGAGGTGGTGGTCCAGGTGTGCCGAGGTGTCCTAGCAGCTCCCCCTTTCGTGGCTGGCAGCCACTTCTTTTTTTTTGAGACAGGGTCTTGCTATGCAGTTCACACTGGCCTTGAGATCACTTTGTAGCCCAGGCTGGTCTCAAACCCACAGTGATCCTCCTGCCTCAGCCTCCCGAGTGCTGGGATTACAGGCGTGCGCCACCAAGCCCGGCATCCACTTCTCACTGTTGCTGGGTGCCCTTTCACCCCAAGCCCGACTGGCAATCACAGCCTAAGGGCACTGGGTGCCCAGTGGGTAACTGCCTGAGACATCCGGAGGGCTGAGCCACTCCCCAGGGCTCTGACTTTTGGGGCCCCATCACACAGGTTGGACACCCCAATAACTAGTACCCTGTAACCCAGATTCACAACCATCCCGGCTCTCCTGGCTCCCATCCTGCCCACCCCAGGGAGGACCCTAGAGACCCCTCCTGGGGCAGGGGGAGGGTCTCAGTCTCTCACTCACCTGCAGATGCAAGTCCAGGCAGCAGCACCCAGGTAAGAACCAGGGCCAGGGCAGGCTCGAGGCGCGCTGGCCGCGGGCAGGGGCGCATCGCGGCGGCGCTGGGACTTGAGGCAGCCGGGAGAGACGACCTGGGACAGTGAGCGCGCTACGGGCCGGGCGCGCACTGAGCTGCGGCGGGGAGGCGCGGACCCGGCTGGGCGCGGAGGCGGGGGCTCCCCGTTCGCTCCCACCCCCCGACTTTCTTAAAGGGCCCGTGCTGCGTTGCTTCAGGGCCAGGCCCCACCCTGGAGACCTGGGACAAGGTCGCAGCAGGGTCCAGACTTCTGAGCACCCCGCACCCCTGCTGGGATCCCCAGATCCCTGTGGGAGGAGCCTGAGCTTCCCTCCTTTCTGCCCTGGCGGGGACTAGGGGGTCTCCACACACTACCAGCCTAGGGAGGAAGCCCGCGTCGCCTCTGAGCCCCCAGGAACCCCATTCTATCTACAGAGGCACCCCTGTGACCACAGCCACCTGGAACCTCTCTGCCCCAAGGGCCTCAGTGTCCAGTCCACAAAGAGACATCTGGACTCCCCACAGGGCATCATTTGCCCCCAAGTCCCTCCGCAAGGTGGGTGCCCGCCCCCCCCGGTGTGGAGGAGGGGCGTGGCTCCTAAGGGAGGCGCTCCTTTCAGACCCCGCGAGGCGGGAGAGCACAGGGAGGATCCGCTTTCCAGCAGGGGCTCCTCCTGAAGTCTGGCCCTGGATTTAGCTCCTACCTAACTGCTCTGGGCCTTGTCCTGGCACCGGCCCAGCAGTAACTTCTGCCGGTCGGAGCGGGACTTGGAGAAAGGGCAATATTATTATCCTGGAGTTTCCAGTGCCTGGAGCTCTGCCTGCCTTTTGCCTGGCCCCAGCGTCCGCGCTGTCTGGCCTGGGTTTCTTTGACAGTGAAGGGATGGGAGAACACCCTCATCTCTCCTCCTTTCACCACTCAGATCCTTCTACGCCCCATCCCTCCCCCGCCTCTCTGGGCCCATCCACAGCCCTGCAGCACGTGCTGCACTTCACAATTTGCAATAAACTGAGCCCCATTTTGCAGATAAAGAAACTGAGGCAGAGAGAGCAAGGAAGTAGGCCAACGCACCAAGCTGCTAAGAGGCGGAGTGGGGCCCCGACCCAAACCGAGGGCTCCTGTGGCCACCATAGTACATGTTGCTGCCAGTCCCAGGGTGGGTATGAGTACTGGTCTCAGATCCAGACAAACCTGGGTTCAACCCCCAGCTCCCCCACTTGGCTTTCCGATCTTGAACGGGTTCCTTTGTGTCCCGTGCCTCAGCTCCCTCATTTGTAAAACTGGGTTTATGAGGATAAAATGCTTTGAGGTACCTCAAGTGCCTGGCATAGAGTAGGTGCTCAGGAAATGTCTGTCCTTTCTCCTGCACACCCTTGTTTTAGTTTATTTACTTATTCACCTATTATTTTTTGTTGTACTATAGAATGCTTCACAAATTCAAAGGTTCTACTTGGGCAGGGTCATGCTAATATCCACTGTATCCTTCTAATTTTAGCATATGTGTTAGTTTTTTTTTTAATAGTCTTGATGTATAGTCCAGGCCACCCCCAAACTCACAATCATCCTGCCTCAGCCTCCAGAATGCTGTTTCATAGTTTAAATACAACTTTACACATATCTCTTTCGCTGATGGGAACTCCACACCGCTGCAGAGGCAGCTGCATACAGTAGGTGCTCAATAAATGCCTGCTGGGGTCCACTTGCTGTTCTGCGGGGATTGTGACAAACCTATGAGCTCCTACCTGGGCCCCTTTGGAGACCTGGGGCTGGCCTTGGTGGCAATGAAGCCATCAGTTCCACAGTTTGTCCCTTGTCTTTCCTTCCCTGAGTCAGCGAGACACCTGGTCCTCGTTAGGGTCTAATTGCGGCCAAGTGCATTGCGGGATGGGGGTGGTAGTTGGAGCCTGCATTTGGAGGATAAAGGATTTTATTTTCAGGAACCAAGAGGAGAGAAGGCTTTTGTTTCTTTATGGATCACAAGCTTGGGTGGAGATGTTCCCCCACCCGCTGCGTCCTCCATCTTCTCTGTCCTGTCCTCTGCATCTTCCCTGATCCTCACCCCAGGAGTCAGCTCTCCCTGCTCGGAGTTTTCGTGTCTTCCAAGCCTCCAGACAGGAGCAGGCGCCCACAGCTCGGGTTCAAGTCGGGATCAGATTCGAGTCAGGATCTGCTTGGAGCCTCCCTGCGTTGTTGCTGGCCAGGCAGAGCAGCATAGGCCCAGGAAAATGGTACAACCTGTGCCGCAGCAGATTGCCAAGACCTGCGGCCAGGCCTTCGCGCCCTGGGGAAGCGTGTGCGTGTGTGTGTGTGTGTGTGTGTGTGTGTGTGTGTGTGTGTGTGTTGGAGAAGGCAGACCCCCGGGTACAGATGAGAAAACTGAGACTCTCACTGTGAAAGGGTTGCTGGGGCTCTGGCTTGGCCTTTGTTCAACCCCCAGCCCAAGACTCGAACCCTGGACTGAGGAGTGTTATGCAGGTGGACTCGGGTAAAGTTGAGGCCCGGTGTTGCTTTGGAACTGGTCCCTGGCTTCCTCCTCCTGTTTTAGAGCAAGACCGTTGGACGGGGCTGTGCTTTCGGCTCTGTGGTCCCCTCCCCAGCCTCCTGGGTAAGCTTATCCAGGGGAGAGCTGCCCTGGCCTTCCTGGCAGCTTCAGGCCTGGCTCCTGCCTCCCTTCTGCCTCGAGCCTCTCCATGACTTTCCTAGGCTTCGGTCAACCAGGCATGCTGGCCCCTGCCCTGATGGCCGCTACCTTCCCAGCCAGATCTCCACTTCCTCCAGGAAGCCCTCTCAGCCCTTCTTCCACACGCTGGCCACAGTACCAAGCTCTGAAGTTCCCTAATCTCCAGGGCCTGCCTGGCTGGGTCAGGGGTGAGTGGATGCCTCCCCTGCTGCCCGGACTGCCCTCTTCCCAACAGAGCCTAGGATAGGACACATGGGGTGGTGATGAAAGAATGAAGAATGCTCCTGCCCCCAAGTGAAGGAGCATTTAGAGTTCTCTGAAGCTAGTAGGACCTGGGGTGTGTGCTGCCTTAGTTTCTCCAAGATAACGGAGAGTCCAGCAATATCCCCTCCCACGCCAGCGGTCAGCCAGGCACACTGGCCAGGCGCCCCTGGTCACTCTCACCCGCAGAGCTTCCCCACTCTGTGGTGCTTGTCCTTGTACTCGGCTGGGGTGTTTGGCCCTGTGACTTCCAGCCCCACCCAAGGAGCCCGTGCCAAAGCCAGCCTGCTGGTAACGGCGTGTGCTTGTGCCCTAGATGGGGCGGCGCTGGTTTCAGCTGCCCAGGCCCTGTCCTCGGGGAGTTCGCCCACAGCCACAGAGCACCAGAATCAAGGCTGCCTTGGTGTCAGGGGGATGCAGACTGAGGTGCTGGCTCCTTGACCCGGCAGTCTCGTGCCCAGGAGCTGCACAGTCAGGGCCCCAGGCCGGGCTTGGACCAGGGGCTCTGCTAGGTTCTGTTCCTGCCTCTGGCTGAGGCACTGGGCTCCTCCAAGTCCAGCAGCCAGGCTTCTGTGGGGCGGGTAGGAGCAGCGAGTCCCAGCAATTACACAATTCAGGAGCTGCAGAAATTGTCTCTGACACCTTCCAGAGCAGAAGCTGGGAGTGGCCCCCCAGGGCAGGGGGCAGGTCTGAGCCATGCCTAAGCCACACTGGAAAGGCAGGGCTGAAGTGTGGGGCTGGGGGACCCTCTGGGAGCCTCTGTCCCCGAGATTAGGCACTCCCTACCACACCATGTTCAAAAAGGCTTGTGGCTTCAGGGGCAGTGAGCAGCTGGCCACAGCTGACATCCCCTGGGGTTGTGCTATTTCTAAATATTAGTTCATGCTGTTAACCCTAGAGGCACCACCAGCAGAGATGGACCTGGAAGAGCCTGGGCTGGTGCCGACTGGGTGGAACTTGTGCAGGGGCCGATGACTTGGGGCTGGGGTGTGGCTTCCCAGGGAAGGCAGAGAAGCTGCAAGGGATGGGACTGGCGCTTGCGGCAGGCGTGTGAGACTGGGCCTGAGCTGGCAGCGGGCAGGGCAGTGGAAAGAATGTGGGCTCAGGAGCCAGACGTGGTCTTGCCAAGCCACTTCTGTGTAGCCCCGGGCAGCGTGTCACCTATCTGCACCTTTCTCCTAGCCACTTAGTGCAGAGCGGCAAGGGTGTGGAGGGCAGAGGGTGTTAGAAATTGGCAGGCAGGGCCGGGTGGTTCAGAAGATGATGGTAGTTCTCAGGAGTCCAGAGGAGAAGCAAGACTGACAGCCAAGAGACACCTGGTGCGAGTGGTCCCTGTTACCCAGGAGGCTAAGGCAAGAGAATAGCAAGTTCGAGGCCAGCCTCGGTCAGGGGTGAGTGGATGCCTTGTTTGTTATGTTTTATTTATTTATTTATTTATTTATCTATTGCTACCAGGAATCGAACTCACGACCTCGTGTTTGCCAGGCAGGCACTGTGCCGCTGAGCTATATCCCTGGCCCCCCCTTTTTCTGGTTATGGTTTATATCTAGATGTCCCTCCAAAGCTTTGTGGGCTCATAGTTGGGGCTTTTGGAAGGGGGTTGGATTATGGGGTTTATAGCTGACTTGCTGTAGGAGGTGGGGCCTGGTGAGAAGAGATGGGTCACTGGGGGTGTGGCCTGGAAGGTTTTCCTCCCTTCCTGGCTCCTACCTTATCTGATCTGCTTCCTGTCCACCATGCTGTGAGCAGCTCTCCTCCGCCAGCCCCTGTGCCATGCTGTCTGCCTTGGAGCCAGTTAACTATGCTAACAAGGCTGTTTTTTTTTTTTTTTTTTTTTGTGTGTGTGCACACTAGGCAAAC